GGTCCGATGGAAAAAGCTTTAAAAAATCGTTTAGTGATAAGTCGTATAAGTGAAAGCTAACATAAGTTCACAAAAAGAAAATCTTGCCTTACTAGTCTGTCTTATTTCTTTATGGATGTTCCTTGTTAACTGGTCAATGGAAATGATGTGAAATTGGAGATTTATTTGAAAAAGCTTTTGATATTATGCCAAACAAAAGATTAGCTGAGAAAATCGCATCAGTAGGGGTTGGATTGTAGGGTAATTATTATTAATGAAGTCCAGTCACACTAAACCCTAAGTACTAATGGAGTACCTCAGGGGTCAATGCTTGGATCTTTGGTCTTTCTTGTTTACATTTATTGATAGTGGAGTAATTAGTAAAGTAGCAAAGTTTGCTGATGACATTAAGGTCCTGATTATATCTAGCTGTATTTGAGGATGTTGAGATGTTTTAGAATGACTTGGATCAATTGGAAAGTTGGACGAACAACTGGCAAATGACTTTTAATCATAATACGTGCAAAGTAATGGGTTATCATAATTTGGATCACACCTTTAACATACGTGCAGATGGGAACCAACTCAATAGCATAACTGAAATAGGATTAAACCTCCAATTAAAAAATATATTGATTTATCAGAAAACGTTCAGAGGAGGGCTAATGAGAATATTCTAGGATGGAAGGGTTATCTTACATGAATAGGAAGCCCAAAGAATCCATCGAAGCAGTGCTCTGTTGCTTGCAGTAAAGCTAAAAAATGTTAAGCTGTATTTATACAGATTTATTGATTCCAGGTCAGAATAGGTAATTATCTCTTTAGCTAGGCCTTACTTTGAATACTGTGAACAGTTTTGGAAAAGTTAAGATTTCTTAACCTCTTTTTTCTTTTGAAAAGAAGAGAAGAAGTAATCATATTGAAGTTTCCAAGATTATCCGGGGGATCAGTTGGATTAAGATCCGTGGTTTCTTTGCGCTATATTCTGAATATATGAGGACGAGAGGACATAAATTTAAGATTTTTGAAGACAGGTAAGCTCCAGTTAATAATAGTTTTATTTTTATAACAGGGTGATTGACTTATGAAACGTGCCCAGACGGGACAGCGATAAGTTTACGGACTTACAACCCTAAAATCAGGAGTTCGATTCTTCGCGGTGGACACAGTAGATAGCCCAATGGGGGTTTGCTCCGAGAACAACCAAACTAAAAAACCGATTTATGAAACGAGTTGTCGTCAGCAGTAGTAA